CTAGTGTGAATTCCAAGTAACACAAGAATAAGACCGTCAAGTAAATTGTTTTTGAAAGACACAGCTTTAGACATAAATAGCCACTTTCCTTAAGAGAATTTTGCAGATTTGTCTATAGATGTAAAACAGTTTCTTTACATTTAAGTTATTTAAGCAACGGACGGTCTAAACAATGGATATGAGAGCAGCAAGACACTGTGTAAAGACCATGAACTTGGGAATTCTAAGGAAAAATCTGAGATTGAACATCACTTTGGCTACTTTAATGTAAATTCGGATTCTCAATTTCTTTCTATGAGTGCTGGTATACTAACCACCTTAGAAGGTTTTGTGAGTTTTTCTACAGTTTTGTACGACAAGGCCCTAGCACAATGCCTAACTGGCAGAAGATCAACAACGGCTGCTAGTTCGACTTTCACATCACTTACAGTGAAATGAGGTCTTCTACCTTACCTCATACCCATATACATAAGGCTTGCAAAAATAGATTATAAAGATGACAAAAATAGATAACAAAGAAATATACAAGAAAGGTATACCACTGTTGTCCTTCGTCTTCCTGAAACTTCATCCCTAGAATAACTAAATTCGGATGTCTTCTATTTTGAGATGCATTTAGTTTGCACATCTCTCCTTGATCTTCAATGCAAAGAACACTAAATAGGAACTACTTCCTTCCTGAAAAGCCATGGACAGTGCACAAAGCTCTGGGAACAGGGCTGAAGGCGCGAGGCATCATTGTGCTGCCCTTACCAAAGGAATTACCTTCTCTTTGAGATCCAGGATGTCATAACTAGTCTCAAATAAACCTTTTATTATCTGTGTTCTCTGCTCCGTTTGTGACACACCAAGTGTCAAGGATAGCCCCATTGGCCCTTAAAAAGTATAAGAACCATTGTCATCATTTTTTCATTGTTCATATGAGATGGTGATCTTTTATAAAGCCAATATAAGCTCAAGTACTTTGAAAACAAATTTCCTCAGAAATGTAATGGAAGAGAAAACTGTTTTGTTTTATTATTTCTTTGTTCTTCCTCCTCCAAGATAGGAAAATACCAGAATACACAAAACCTTGATCCATTTTCCCCCCAAAAAAGTTCACATTTTCCAAAACGTAGAAATTCTCCCTAGGAGAGAATTATACAAGAGTTATGAGAACACTGGCTACACATTTTAAAACTTCTTTTTGCTGGTTTCATTTTCTGAGAGGTGAGTCTGAAATAACTGATGATTTGTTCCCTTTCTGCAGCTGAGTTAAGTGGTAGCTCCTACCAGACTCTCTTTCAGTCATAAATGCATTTTAATGGACTGACAGGTGCTTAATAATACAGGCAGCACCTGGATTTTTAAGAGCAACGTCCTGCCAGGGCCTTCCTTGTATTAAAACCACATTTTTGACCTGAGGCCTACAAGTCTCTGTATTCAAAAACATCTCACTGATTAGAGAGAAACAGCTCGGTTCCAGCTCACATTTTTCTTTTCCAAATAAGGAGGATTGAGGTTTAACTTTTATAATTTCGAACATGAAAAATATTATAATTCTAAGTGATTAACTCACCTCCATTACTGGAAATCTAATAAATTTTATAAAAGTCCTCTGACTGCACAAATTCATTCTCAACTTTTATGACTTTGTAGAATGAGGCCCCTTCTAGCTATACGTCTTGAGTCAGCACGGAAGAAAGAAAAATGTGTTAAATAGCTACTCAACACTTTGTGCAGTATTTGAGATATACTACCTCATTTAATTGCCCATACCAACTTATAAAGCAATTTTTTTTTTCATCTCCTGTGATAGGAAGTCTCTAAAATGATCCTAGATAATCTGCGCCTGCTAATACTCATGCCTTGGTGTTATCCCCTCCATTTGAACATGAGCTGGACATGTTTACTTGCTTCTAAGGAACAGAATATGTCAGAAGTGATGAGATGCCATTTTCAATATTAGATTATAAAAAGACTGAGGCTTCTATCTTGGGTGTTTTTTCTCACTCTCCCTTGGCAACCTTCTGAGAGGCTCATGAAGAAAAGCTTATGAAAGAAACCAAAATATTTCACCCCAAAATACATTTCTTTGACACATTTTGGGAGGGCTGTTCAGAAAGCAGTAGACCTGCAAAGCTGTCTCTCGTGGGGTACTTGCATCTGTAGAGAAAACCTGCATCGATACCAAGGCTTTCTGTGAGGCTCTTCTTTGCTCAGATCTATGACTGAGAGTCTAACACATTTAAGAATCTGAAAGAAACATTTATCATTTATTCTCTTTAAGGGCTGCTACCTGTATGACTTTATCTACATCTTAAGTCCACCTTGGCAAACAGAACCTCCTCTTCTCCCCCTCAATTACCTGGCTTGCCACACAACCTGATTTACTACCATACCAGTATTTTTTGTTGTTGTTGTTTTGTTTTGTTGAGACGGGAATCTCATCTTGTCATCTAAGCTGGAGTGCAGTGTTGTGATCACGCCTCACTGCAGCCTTGACCTCCCTGGGTTCAGCCCCTCCTCCTACCTCAGCCTGCCAAGTAGCTGGTAATACAGGCATGCACCCACATGCCCAGATGATTTTCAGTTTTTTGTTGAGATGGGGTCTTCCATGTTACTCAGGCTGATTTTGAACTTCTAGGCTCAAGAAATCTCCCCAACTTGGCCTCTCAAAGTGGTAGGATTACAGGTGTGAGCCACCGTGCCTGGCCCATAACATGTTTTAGCTATACTCCAAACCCCTGTTCTTTCTGTAATCTCAAGATGGCATAAAAGCATCAATCAACTGCCATTTCTTTGGGCTTTAATATGTTCTATGACTTTGTGACTCTTGTGCATACATATGCATGTAATAATACGTGTATTCATTTTTCCTGTTAATTTGTCTATTATGAATTTCTTTTATAGACTCAAGTTATTGTAAATAACTTGAGAGGAAAAATTAGAACTTCCCTACATGTCGAAGTGGATTTTCTTAGGCCTGCCTACAGTCACATGAGGAAGTGTAGAAGATCTTCCACCATTTAACCTTGCCATGGATGCAGCCCCCATTGGCAATTTGATTGAGAGCTTATGGGAGACTCCAAGCCAGTCACTAGCCAGCTGGCTCCTGGATTTCTGATCCACAGAAACTGGAACATAACAAATAATGTGTTCAACCATTAAATATTGCTGTCACTTGATATGCAGCTATAGATGAATAATACACCTGAGTTTACGTATGAGACAATGTTTATCCAGGGCTAGAGGAAAGGAAGGAAAAGTGTTATTAATGTTTTTAAACTTGACCACCTGAATTCCCGACCCAGGCCCTTCTGCTATGCTCAGGGGTTCCGTGGCCCATTTTGTTCACTTACAGACATTTGAATGTCTCCCATGATTTGACAAGACCAAAACTATGAGAAAAGAAAAACAGCCCTGAGCAGTCTGAACTATGTGAGTTAAGCAAAATGTATCAAGCCCAGAGAGATGTCAGTATGAAACTTTAGTCACACACCCTTCCCCTGAGCTCATGGCATCCATACTCTGGGCAATTGTTCAGCCATTTTTATCCTGACTAGTTGCCTTATTCATTATCTTCTTTCTCCTGGAATCTGTGATGCAAAGAACAGTGCACAGGCAATTTTTAGCTGTTATAATTTTTTTGTAAATTTCTGATAAACAATATGTAAACTGTTGCTTTTTCTTTTCCTTAAAAATCTGCTTCTAAATGCAAGTAATCAGAGCAGAGTGTATATTCAGAGCAACTTAAATCTATATTCCCAGGTTGCAATCCTCAAGCTTGGCTCAAGTAAACTATCTACTTATATGAATATTGCTTTAGCTTTTTCCATTTAGGTCAACACCTATTAAGTCATATCCTTTACACTTTAACTCAATTTTTGCTAATCTATTGGATAAAAACCCACACAGTCCAGTTGAGAGAAAAACATCTAAATCAAATTATAGTATAATCCATGATGGATGTTGACCTATGGTGAAAAGCAGAGGGAGATTTTTATTCAGGTTGTTTATTTCTGTAGACTTCTGAAATAACTCCATCTATCAGCATGCTGCAGCCCAATGTCTGCCCAATCCTTGGCATGTGAGATTTGACCTCAATGAGTATTCATCAACTTACTAAATACACTGCTGCTTGGAGCACACCAGATATTGGTAATATAACAGATGGAAAAGGAAAGAGAGGATTTCACTGTTCCATGTTGAAGCAGCAGCAGCTGGAGGAGCCAGGGTGTTGAAAAACAGGACTTGTTCATAGACCTTTACGTATTGCTAGACAGTAAGATCTGTGGTACATGGCAATGAAACAGGGCTTCCCAAACTTTGGCCATTTGAGGACCAGTTAAAAGTTTTGCCATTCCCTCATGCCATATGTACTAGCATTTACTTAATACATTTAAAGTATATGTGTATACATATATAGTTTTTAAGTGACTTTAAAAATCTACTGATTTTTACTTGAAATAGAATTTGGGGGCTATATAAAGACCCATGGCAATGTGGTTTAAGAGGAGAACATAGAATTGGAAGTCAGACAAATTCAGGATAAAATCCCAGCTCCATCACTTAGAAACATGGGATTTTGAAGTGATTGCCATGATTCCTGAATTCCTCATCTATTAGGTAAAAAATAGTAACTTCCTTCAGTGAGCATGGTGAAGGTTCCATATGATATATGCCATGTTTGTAGAGAACCTAGCAGAGAGCTCTATAAATTGTCTAGATTATGCTAAATATTCCCAGGCAAGGATTCTTATTCCATCTTTCCATTGAGACTGCTAAGAGACAAAGAAATTTAGGCATTTACCAAAGTTGGCATAGCTAATTCTAAATCCACTGTTTTGTTTTGTTTACTACTAAGAAAAAAAAATGCTGCCTCTTCAGACTTGGAGTAAATTTGTGAATACTGGTCTAACCTACATCCTTGAAATTTAAATTCTGTATGTTTCTGTGAAGACCTCAAACTTTGTTGGCTTGGCTAAACAAGAAACTGACCCAGTGTCAGCAGACAGTACCTGTGAGGATTTCAGCTACACGTTCAGTCATTTTCTGAATCACGAGTCTCAGGATTCCACCCTCCAGGCTCAGCAGCAGGGTCCCCGAGCCCTCAGACAGCTCTGTGGACAGAAGCAGACCATCCTTGTTCCACGTTCGAAACTGGAAACTCACTGAGAGCCCATCAATTTGGGGGGTTCCGGGCAGCAGCAAATAGCTGCCGCTGGAGTTGACAAATGTGATGGGCACAATCTGTGGTTCGGAGCAGGAAAAAGTGACATTGCCCTGGAAAACAATAAAAGTCAAACATATAAAAGCCATTTTTTATTCTGCAATCTGACAGCTGATATAAACAATCACCTGGAGCTGACCTTAACTTCAGGATCATTCTACAATCAGCGGTGAGATCTTAAAGGAGAAAAAAAAAGTCGGCTTTGTTCAGACACACTCACAAGGATGCTTTCTATTATTGTGTTAAGAATCACAAGGCTATCTGCAAAGAGGGCCAACTGAGGCGCCCAGAAGGAAGGCTGATGGAAGCATCCACACTTTCTAAGGGGCATAAGAATAATTACATTTATTCTATATAAATACCTATGGCAAGTCAACTATGTGCCAAGCTCACAATGTGGAACGTGCTAAAAAAGGGATAGATACCTGCTTCTGCGGGAGCCTGGCAGGAGAATTAACTGGACAAGCAAAGGTTATACAAGCGAAAATAAAACCAAGGAGGGCGCTAGGGAAGGGTGGAGGGAGGGTATTTTGACTAGCATTTTCAGCAAAGGGCACAGTTTCTGCAAAGCCTTGAAGAAATTAGCAAAAAAGCATCCCTACAGAATTTCAGGGAACCTGACATTTCTAAGTAGTTAGTGGGACAGGAAGGGCCAGGTAGCATAAAGAAGGTAAGTCTGGAAAGGTGAGTAGAGGCAGAGCTTGAAAGCCCTCTGATGTTTCCTGAATAGGTTTCATTAAAACCTACAGTGAAGTGACATGGGCCATAGATTTAACTTAGTAAAAGTATTTTAAGTAACATAAATGAGGAGTGAATGAGAGGATTGCTCTTGTGGAATATTAAGTACGTATCAAACCCAAAAGAAGAGTAAGAAATTATTTTTTGCATAAGTGTGAAGAAAATGTATCCAAGTTTATTTGAGAATCAGTAGAATAAGGAAGTTAAGAAATGTGGGAAATTAGGAAATGTGCCCAACTGAGCCCTGTACTGGGGTCACTTCTAATGGATGAGTAAGAAGAAAGCCTGAAATACTTCATAAATTGTGAATAGGTGTTCTACTAGGAAAGCCATTTAGAATTTCTACTGTAAGCTCTATAGCCAACCACCTCCTATTTTCCATCACTACCATTTTCATCCTTCAAGCTCTAAACACTGATCTCCATAACTATGCAGTGATGTCCTTCAGGTAACTTCATCCACATAGCTATGGATTGAATGAGAGGATTGCTCTTGTGGAATATTGCTCTTGTGGATGGTAAGTCTATGGACTTACCATCTTTCCTGTAAACGTTTCCCTTCAAGTCCACGGCATAGCTGCCTTTACACGAAGCTGTGGCTCAGCCTTTCTGAGCTTGCTCCAGCAGCCAACATCCCTTATGCAAAAAAGGTAAGAATCCCACAAGCAGAACACCCTAATCTGAATAGCTACCTGAATTCAACTTTCCACCAAGGTAGTCAGGCGGCAGAGTTAGATATGTAGTATTGTCCTCAGTCCCAGAGCAGGGTAATGGTTCAATTCCAAAAACCTCTTACCCACAAAAACATCCCTAGGTCCCAACCATGTTTGTTTATGATAGACCTGTACTCTTGAAAATGTGTAACAGTCCCCAAACAAACTTCTACAAGTAGCACATTTCTAATGATTCATTCATCAATCACACCGCTGTGAGCATATTATTGCATGAATCATTTGTTGTAGTTGTTCAGATGGTTTTTTTCCCTTTAGGCTAGATCCTCAGAAGTTAATTAATGTGTCAAAGGGTAAGGCACTTGATATTCATCAAGCAATCACCCACAGTTTATACCACCCCACTGTGCCAGACAATAGGATAGGCACTTACATGCATATCTTGTGAATTCTGCACAACAGTGCCATAATGTATTATTTTCTCCATTTAATGGATGCACAAACTGGACTTAAAGAGAATGAATAACTTAGCAAAAGCCATGCGCCTAGTTAGCAGGGAACATGGAAGACAAACCCATGTTTGTCTAATTTGGAGTCTTCTGCTTTTAGTCACCAACTCTGATACCTCCATCCTCTGCACTGCGTGCCACCATTAAGAAAAAAAAATGTCTACCAACTTGTTTTGGTTTCTCATAGTTGTTTTAGTTTGCATTTTTGGATCTCTGGTAAATTGCCTTTCAAGAATAAAAACATCACCAATGATGGCCAATTCATTGTGGCAGGGCTGTCTTTTAGAAGAAGCCATATCACAAACGCTCTGCAGAGAAGGTAGGAAGTAGCAATAACTTTAATTTATCTTTTCCTTTCCTGAGGTAAGTAGTACCATTTTCTATAAAAACAAATCTACTGAAGCACAGTTTCATTCAAAGTCTGAGATTATAGAGCGGGAAAGCTCACAAAGGTGAAGAACGCAAAGGCATAGGAGGTTGTGCAAGTACCCTCTTCCCTAAGTTATCTAAAACCCAGTTTAGCTTCACCCAAGCCCTCTTCTGAGAGCCTTCTGGATCATAGCCATGATAGGCCCTTCAGAACAGTGGGGGACCTGAGATTCCTTCCTTATGTGATCAGTCTGCTCACATCTGACCAGACGTCTGGCTCTCTTTCCTCAATCTCCCTTCCTTTCATTGTTTAATGGGCCCAACTACTTGAGCATAATACTGGGTTGCTCAGAATCTAAGGAGTTCCCGGATTGGTTTCCCAGGGCAAGGCCTTTAATTAAGTGCCTTCAGAGATTCTCACTATAAGATAAGGTTGTGTGTGGGCGTGAACAACTAGGTCAACAGAGAGCAGGAAATCTTTGAAATGCACTAGGATATGCTTTCTATCTTCGGACGGTTTCCTCCCTCACCTTAGGCCAGCTTCTGTCTCCCTTCCCCCTATTCCCATCACGCTTTTCTCTTTTATGCTTGCCCCTATGTAGCCACCTTTGAGACTAAAACTTCTTTGGTTTTAGAGCACGGCTCTACTCTATACTCCAAGGGCAAAGCCAAGGGCAAGTAGGAGAGAAAAGAAGTGGATGATGGGAAATTCCTTCTACACTAAATCTGATCCAGCTCTCTGGTTGCACGTGAGTGTCTGCCGTTCAGCTTCCTGTCACACAGCTGCTGTGTGCCACTTTGCTAACAGTCCTGTCTCAGCCGTGCTTACCACTGGCAGAAATGAGGTACAGAGTTGAGGGCCATTGGTACCACCCCCATTCACCAAAACGAGGACGAAAAACGAAAATGAGCTGCATGTAGAAGTGCTACTGTTAAATCAACAAAAACTGACAGTTTTCGATAATGCCATTTTTGTCGCCAGAATCTGTCTCCAGGCGGCATTTGAGGGAGTTCCCACTGGCCATTTAGAAATGTCATACAAGAAGACAATTTACTTTAGAGTCATGTCAAAGGAGACATAGAAATGTTCAGTGGCCTATATTCGACCCTATATACCTCTTAATCTCTTTCTTCAAATATCATTCCTTCTAATCCCAAGAAGTGAGCTTCATTCCCCCTAAAGCCCCTTTGTCCCACTGTATGTTTAATTTCATTCAAGATTTTTCAAGCTAAGCACAGGGATAAGTAAGTTGTACACATAAATGTTACCTGAACCTTTGCAGGCTGTAGTAATTAAATTTACTCTATGTACTTACTCTAATTTACTGTCATCGGTACAAAGTATGTCTGGTAAGGAAGAGTGCATTGATCAAACCTTCAAGGTAAAACCACTGGCCCTGACCTCATAAGTGAGATTGAAAGGAGGTCAATGAGCTGCCCTTGGTCCACTTTTTTCTCTTCGTATCTTATAGGAACTACAGGATCTTTTGTTGTCTGAAAATAAAGTCACTCTTCAAGGAAGAAACTCAATCCCTGGTGTCTGAGTGCTTTTCCTTACTCTACCCCCCAAGAACCAGTTGAACCATCGACTCCTCTGTCTGACTGTGGCGACTCAGAGTGAGTCACTTCTAGAGGCTTAAGTTTCTTTTTTGTAACCTGAGGCTGTTGAACTGAAAGGCCCTACTATTCCTACTTGTTCCCCTAACCTTGGGTATCTGAGACTGAACACCCACATCTTTACCATCTGTCTTGTCTTTGCAGAGGACTTAGGGATTATCCGAATCATTCTATTTTTGCTATAAAAAGTGTAACCAAGTATTTACACTTTAGAAGACTTTTTCTTTGAATGATTCAGGCTATAAAGAGGAAACTTAGGCCTCTTCCCTAATAATTCCTCTCTTGATGCAGGAAAGAGAGCAAGAATTACCATACATGATAACTATATTTAAAAAAAAGTGAGTAAAAGATGATATAGTTTTACAGGTTAGGGAAATAAGAAGGCTAAGCATGATAGCTCACATCTCTAATCCCAGCACTTTGAATGGCTGAGATGGGAGGATCACTTCAACTTAGGAGTTTGAATCCAGCCTGGGCAACATGATAAGATCTCATACCTATTTTAAAAATAAATAAAAAGCCCAATATTTTAAAACATACTTACCAGAGTATAATAACCAATTGACTGATTATTCTTTCCCCTTCCCCCACTCCCTAGAAACTGTAGCCTAAAGTATTTTACAGAGAGAAGCTAGATTAATGCTGAGCTGTATGAGGAACTACAGTGGTTGCAACTTTCTTGCAGATGACAAAATGGGAGAAATTACACGCAGCCAATTAGATGGGCGCCAGTTCAGGGGCTATGAAATGAAAACCAGAAGAAAACCACGAGAGGGAATGAAGTTCCTGATTAGCGCCTTCCTTGCAGACGTATTCAGGCCATTCAAAAGTGTGTTGAATGCTGATGAAAATCCAATAAAACTCATCCACCTAAAAGCTTTCCTCTGTGGCAGAGAAACTCATTCAAAAGGAGCTATTGAGGTAATAATATAATTACCATGATCCCCTCATGACAGATGGATGGGAGTGTCATCGCAGAAGCGTTCCTTCCTCAAGACTGTTGACACAGAGAACATGGTAGTATTCAAGTCTTTGTCATGTGAATACAGAACCAATCGAATAAATTGACACTTGTCTCTTATACAGAGGAACAAATTCAGAAGATGCCGCTCTGCTGATAGACACAGGGATGGAACCATCATAGTGGTCT